TTGTTCGTTTCACGATATATATATATAAACGAGGAACTAAGATTTAAAACGTAAATTGTATATCAGCTAAACGAAAGTGGTTTTCGAGACAGAAGTGTTGAATATAATTAAAGGATTGTCGTTCCATTACGTTCGAGGATATATCGAATAGAAATTTGAATAAACACGATCGATTTTAAAAATTTAATTCAAGTTTCACTTAGCCGGATTTATTGAACGTTTTAAACCGACATCGGTATGCCGATTTGATACGAGGAAATTGGAGTAGAAAGCAACAGTTTTAGTTGTACACTGAATTTACCCAACGTGATTTAGATATGTGTTTTTGATCGTGGTGAAACAGACGAAATGTAATTCTGCTGTTGCGTCGCGGAAAAGTTTCTTTCTACCCGAACAACGTTTCACGAGAGAGCTGTAATTACGGTAGGTATATATTTCTACTTATAAATATAGAGCGAATAATCTCATATTCGTATTTCGAAGAATGAAAGAAAGAAGAAGAGTTTTTCTTTTAAAAAATAATAACAAATTTACATCTCTCTTCAATTTTCTCTTAGTTAATTTTACATCAAGAATGAAATTTATCAATTTTCACGTAATGATAGAAATCCACGCTCGGTTAAGTGAATTTAATAGCTAACATTATCCATTTGATTAAACATTAAACCTCGAACAATAACAGATTTCCAATAAATCGTCCAAGTTTATTATACACAGGATTATTTAAATAGTTGACTGACAGTAGAAGCACGATTGAAATTATGTAAGAATTAAAAAAAAAAGAAAAAAAAAAACAAAACAAACTAAAGTGTTTAACAGATCGATATCGTGACACGATTATATTTTCCAAATTCCTCTTCTTTTCGTTCGTCAACCGCTCGAAGAAACGCGAACGTCACTTTCTTTGTTGCTCGATTCGAAATGGTAAATGTTTTTCGCGCACAAGCATTTGATAGGTGTGAGAATAAACTGTGGAATGCATCGGCCAGAGATACACACCGTCAGCACAGGTTCCTTAATCAGACACGCTTATTATCGGCGTTTTAAAAAACAATCGATCAAACAACCGTTGCCGTTAAATCTATCACGTCACAGATATTTACAAACGATATCGATCGCGAGAAAAACCGCGATTTCGATTGGTCAAATCAAGCTCGTTTTACCGATAACTGCTACCCTCATGCCATTCTTACCGCATCCTGTTTTACATTTCTTCCCTCGCAAGTGTACCAAACTAATGTATCTGTACGTTGCGTGTTTGTTTGAATTTTTAAAAATTATTTACGCCTTCTTCGCGAAGAAAGCAAGCAAACAAAGAGCAAAAGAGTGGATAATTTTGGCATAATTAATTAAATTTGTGCCTTTGATTGACACGAAAAAAGAATGCATTTTATACAGGGAAAAGCTTGCGTGCAGATTCATTGTTTCAAGTTACAAGGTGATGTCGTGCGTTCATTGAATATGAAATAAATAATTTTAATCATTTTATTATTTGTTAGTTTTATTGATATTTTGCGATGGTAATAATTCAATTACGATCGTTTCAGAAATAAATAATTGTAGAAAGAATTGGTGAAAGAAGAAGTGAGATTATTGTTATTTAATAATAATATCAAATAAATAACTAAAATATTAATTGTATTAAATATCTAGAGAAAATGAATACGTTGTAATTAATTATACATGAAAATATGCAAATCTCTTGAAATTTTTATCTTTTTTTTTTTAAAACATACAAAAATCCAGATGTATTATTTCAGATTTTATTTATTTATTTATTTTTTTTTTAAATAAAGTTTATTATATTGCTTCGTGGAACAAATTCTCCCATATTTTGAGAAAAAAATAATATTTCCAATTGTATTAATTAAAAATTCAAATTTTATCTTAAGAATATAGAATTTTGATTACCTCTTACTGTTCCTTTTCCAAGTTTTAAAATCATTAATCGATTGGTCTGATAAATAAAAGAAGACAGGATAATCGTTTACTCTCACAACACAACACAATTCCAAAGCAAAATAGAATAAAATTTTAATCAAACTTGGAGCATACTCTTTCCCTCGATAACTCTCAAAACCTCTTCAACTCGAATGGGTTAAACGTCTGGAGCACGTAGAAGATTTTCCATTAGATGGATCACGAGTTGGTCACGAGCCAAAGGAAAGCACACACTGAGATTTTTAGCCTAGCTCGACTACCTATGACTTTATCTTTCGCATATTTTCAAAAGACAAAAGAGAAAAACTATCGCAGAGGAAAAGGGAGATAAGAGCGTGGTAGGATTTATCGTTTGTTACAGTTTGAAAACACAAAGTATTCTTTGCTAGAGACAAACCTGAGAGAAACATTAAGAAGTTTCAACCCAATTATTTTCCCTTTTATCGAAGTCCATTATCGATTTACCTATGATTTACGAACTATTCTTTGATCGAAGAGAAGGAGAAAACATGATGAAAATTTCGAACAGATATGAAATGCCTCGAATAAGAAAAATACCATTTTTCTTATATGCTGTATTAAGTAGAATTATGGCAACTATATATAAAGTGCTAAAACTCAAACCGATAAAATAAGAGGAAACATTATAAAAATTGAGTAATCGAGAAATAATTGCGATGTTTTAAGTACTTATAAAAGTTTCGAATTTGTCGTAGTACAATTCAAGTACTCACGCTTTCAAACATTTCATCTTTTCACAATCATTCATAAAAGATTTAAATTCCTCTATCCTCCATTATCCAAAACATTTATATTATAAAATTCGAATCCAATCAAACAAATTTTTCTCTGTTTGCGAGATATTTAAACCCATCGCTACGCGTGATAAAAAACGATCGAGAAATATATATTTTCTTATATATCAACGCGAGAAATATAAAAAAAATAATATATCCCACTCTTCTAGCCTTCAAAAAAAAAAAAAGAAAGAAAGAAAGGAAGTAACAAAGACGTTTTAATAAAAATTCATCTTTTCACAATCATTCATAAAAGATTTAAATTCCTCTATCCTTCATTTTCTAAAATATTTATGTAAAATTCGAATCCAATCAAAAAAATTTTTCTCTGTTTGCGAGATACTTAAACCCATCGCTACGCGTGATAAAAAACAATCGAGAAATATATATTTTCTTGTATATCAAGGCGAGATATATAAAAAAAATAACATATCCCACTCTCCTAGCCTCCAAAAAAAAGAAAGAAAGAAGGAAAGAAAGTAACAAAGACGTTTTAATAAAATCAAAGTTCGAGGAAGAGACAGTTGATCGAGAGAGAAAGAATTCGAGGAATCGGATTCATTTAGGTTCGCGGGCACGGTATCAGGGATCCAGTTACTTGCTAATCCCACTTGTGCTCACAATCCCACGGGCGAAATTGACCGTGAACTTTTATGACCCAGTTGTTTATATAATTGATTCGTCTTCGTTAGCGCGGCACTCTCGTTCCGGCGGACCGATGCAACGAAATTACGTGACCGCCATAAACACGAGCCAACGACAGATTACACGCGCGATTTTAAAATTCGCCTAGCCTATTCAGAGTTCGATCGTTTCGAGACGCTCTTTGCGTATATTTCTTCGAGGCGGTGGAAGATGATCGAGAAACGATCCACGTACGAAAGATATATTTCCGAGAAGAAAAAAAACTCTTTCACTTTTCGGTTTATCGATAGAAGTTTCTCGATAATACCTTTTCTTTCTTTTTCTTATTCGGTAAGTTGTTTGTGTTAAGTTAGGTTAGGTAAATGATAGAAAAAGAAAATTAATGGAAAAGAGATAGTTTCTCTCTAATTAAAAATATTAAAAAATAACTGAAAGAACAGAACAACGATAGATAAAAAAAGGGCAATATTAAAAGAGAAAGTTCAATAATTTTACAAAAATTCAGTATCTTTTATAAATTTTTATAATATAAATGCAACAAAATGGGAAGGAAATGGTTAAAAGATACATCAAAATATTTAATCTTTCAAAATACTTATCCACTTCATAAGCGAAATTATTATTTTCCACTGCCCACATATCCAACAAAACAAATTTTATTAATTCAAATTGTTCACCGTTTCCCAATTGAAACGTTACCTCTTTTAATTCTGTGAAACGTTGCTTCCGAATATTGCAAGGATATCTTATCATATATGTAAAAAAAAAAGGGAACCAATTAATCGAATAACGTATTTCCATTTATATTCGTCTTGCAAATACAAATACGATGTTTCGATAAATGTTTCCTCGTATCGATGAATGGATACGTGTCGAATGAACACAAAGATACAAATTATTAAAAGGTCCTTTCTGTCTCATGTAACGTAACATGCATGATAATCAAACAGGCTTGTATCGACACTTCCTTGCGTAGGTAGTGTACATTGTATATTTACGTACACACATGTCAGAAGAAAGATAACGGTTCTCAAACGTAACTATACAAAATCTTTGGAAATATTTGTTTTGCTCGTGGAAATCATGAAAGGAGTGTGATAAAAATAGTAGTTTAATAGTTATTTATGCATATCTCCTTATACGGGGAGTTCAAAAGTGTAGAAATGTATAAAACAATCAATGAATGTATATGTACAATTCAATTCATAAATACATATTAGAAAATTTATATGAATACATTTGTAATACATTTGTATAAAATCTCTATTAATAATTATTAAAATTTTCTAATGGAAATGAAAATTTTCTAGATCTATACGTTCAATATTGTAATAAAAATTTCAAAGATCATATGTAATAAAATTATTTTTCATTTTATCCGATTTTTTAAACATATATTTTTACATATTTAATTAATAAATCATAAAGAATCGATCAATCGAATTTTTTGAAAAAAAAATGAAAAAGGTTGATTGATTAATTATTTAAGACTGATCGATAATTACTTAGATTTTAAATCAATTTAAGAAAATGGTGGATTCCCTTTCTCTAAATTTTCTATTCGAAAGCATTTGCTATCTATTAATGTCACTATAGTTTCAACTTAATTTAACTCACCCTCCCCGTTTCTTGATAGAGAGATGCACGTTCTTTGGAGCGCCTACTCACCTGAAACAAAGAAGATAAAATTATTAATTGATTGGTCAATCTCTATTGTGAATCTAATAAGTACATAACATCATTAACTGCTTATAAATATGTTTTATTTTATCATATTAAAGACATTTGCGAGCTAAAACGTTAGCAAATTGTGATGTGAAAATGAATAATACTATAGCACAAAGAGTGACAACTTTACAACAAGAAAAAAGCAAATAGCTATGTATGTATGAAATAAAAAAAGCGCGAAGTAAAAAAGAACAAAATAAAATTTATTATTATGCAATATTTTTAAATTCAATAACATATTTTAAAGAATTTTAATGAAATTTCAAAGAAATTTCAAAGAAAAAAAAATTTACGACGTAAATATTTAAGTTGTTCAATTTCTTATTTAACGCATTAGCAATTACAATTGAAATTCTCATATTTATTGAAATATTTTTTTAACATATTTAAATTATTGAATATAATATTATTATATACTATTTAATATGTTCAATACATTAATTACAAAATAAATAACCTCAATTATTTTACATACGCTATAATATAATTTCGTGATATCGTTAAAAACCACTACTAAAAAGAACATGTCTAATTAAATAGCAAAATTCTAATAAAACAACTTCACTATGCAATACACCGTCGACTTACTGAAGACGAGAGAACTGTTCAATTATAACGAATATTTTTTCGACGTTATAACAATCACTTAAACACCATTCTAAGACAACGTTCACGCGAGAATAAAGAAAACAAAGAATTGTTCGTTCTTTTTCACAAATCATGACAGTCGTGCTTGATATTTGTTTTGGTGGCCATGAAACTTTTCCTTGTCTATTTTATTGGCCATATTCCAATCGAATAATTTTCATAAAGAAGGCCACGGGGCAACGACTGATAAATTGCATTGACGTGTTACTATATTTCATATCGTGCTTACTTGATAAAGTTCATTGAATCTTTGGCATTTTCCGCCATTTTTTGAGCTTCTGTCATCGAAAAATAATGGACGTCTTGATAAAACTATGTCACAAACAAATTGAGAATAACGATTAAAATTGATTGACTGATTAGCTTATATTGTCAGCAAGCATATATATATACAACACTTTGATACATATTTAAAAATATTTGATATATACCGTGATAACAAGGAAAGTTTATTTTAATTATAAAATTATAAACCACTTTTACCTTATTCGACTAATTAACTTGGAAAGAAAAGAGGGAGCTACAAGCTCGAAAGCGAAAACGAGGTTAGAACGATAATCGATAGTTGCAATCGTAAGATTTTATTCGTCTGAATATGGTGTCAAATAAACATTAAGTCTATAGTTATAATAGAAGGGAAATAGGATAAAATTTATGGAATTGTTAGTATGTAATAATATTTGATATTTAGATTTATATTTAATAAATATATTATAATAAGACGATATGCTATATGAATACATATATAATTATTTTTGGCAATAAAATTTGTTTAAAATTTATATAAAGCTATTAAGGAATATAAATATTTTTTCAAATAGATCTATCGTTATGTTTTTTATTTGTCTACATTTTATTTAATTATTATTATATTTTAAAAAAATTAATACATAATTAAAAATATAAAACTTATTTTTCAAAAGATTATGCTTTTAAAATTCCTTATTTATATTATATTTATTATTCTTCAAGAATCTTTTATCTATTATAATTATGTAAAAAATCTATAAACGAAGTTGAAATCAAATGAACCAAACATCCGTGTATCCTTTATCAAAGTGCAGCTTCATTTATATAGAAACTTGTGAATATAATGAAAAATCAGAAAAATAAATCTTATTTAAAAATTTTATTCTTGTTACTACTTATAAATGAACAATTAAGAATCTGATTGTAACAAATATTTCAATTATTGCAAATTAATGTAAAAAATTTATTGAAGAATGATGAGAGTCGATTAAAGCGCCATCACAGTTCGTTGTAACCGCCATATTTTTCTTTTGTGTCGTTTCATCCTCCATTTTTGTGTATTATCGTTTTGTTTTATAAAAGTTAATGAAAATTGTTTGTTCTTAATATATTGTTGTGACAATAACCGGTTAAAGAGACGGAAAATATAATAATCTCGTTCAAGTGAAAATTAAGTAAACATGACAATCACGTTGGACAGTTAAATTGAAAAATTAGCATCTCGTTTGATTGGTAAAAAGTGTTATAGTGACTGCTACAAATTTGGCAAACTGGATAATTAACGACAGTTATATTATTATTAGTTTTTTACATTTCATTGTTGTATAACCATTAAAGATAACTTAGTAGTTTTGATAATAGTGATATCATATTTGAAAAAACGAAGAGTGAAAGCTTCAGAGAAAAAGAATTCAAGTAAGTTATTACATATTAATAAACATATTGCATGTGGCTTTTAATTAATAAATAAGAAAATTTTAATGATAAAATATATGAGAAAAGATAGAAAGAAAAGATATAATTAATAAATTTATATAACTGTAAATAATACAGTGTTTAATTGTTCATAACATTTAAAACTATTAATGATATATTATAGATACATGATTATAATATAGATTATAATATAGAATAGTATATGATTCTTTTTTTTTATTTAAATTTTCTATAAAGGTATTATTTTCTTTATTATTTGTTTAAAAAAGCAAATAACTTCGGAAGCAATAAAATAGTAATCTATTTCATAAATTATGTAAATAACTAGTAGCAATTAGCAACAATCGTTGATTACTCGTTAACATTTTCTAACTTCTACCATCTACACGTTTTTACTAGGGATAATTTCTTGATAAACACGAATTTTTCCGGTTTCATATCACAATATTTATATTCTCGCGTCATGCCATGCTTCAGTCAATTCAGAGAATTGTTCAATTATCATTTGTAATGTAGAAAAAGAAAAGTTTAATGGTAACATACGATAATGCCGGTGAACGCGTGTTCTTCGCGCGGCTAACCTCTCCGACATAATGCCATTCTTTCATGGGGATATCGGAAAGGTCGTCGCGTATTGCGAATGCTCCATTATCAGCCGCCATTTCTTATACGGCTAATTATCGATAATGTCAGCCTGTCACTCTTTCCTAATAAAATTTATTCTACTTCATTTCTCATTTTTTAATTGCGTTTTTTCATTTTTTTTACATTTTACTAGTATTTTTATTAATGAGACATGATAATTAGCATAATTTTTCAAATTAGGAAGATTTGATTTTTTTGAAAAACGATATCAAATGAAAACTATATTTAAATTGTTTTTCTCTGAGATGTTATGTTTTAATTATTTCTCTATTTTAATTTAAATTTGGTTTTAAATTAATTTCAGTAATTTATTATATTAGATGTATACATTAATTTAATTTTCTGTACAATTTTGAATAAACAAGCAATTATTCGTAGTTTTGCTAAATAAATATACAATATAAATAATTTTATACAAGTTAGACTATTAAATTAAATTAGATTATATTAACACGTGCTTAAAAATAATATTTTAAGTGAACAGAATAAACTACATTAAAAGTTCATAATCAAAAAATATGATTTATCTCATACAGATATTAATTTAATCAGATTTTTATCGCCTCTTTTATAAATCTATTCTAAATACTATCTGTTGCATAAAATGCAATTATCGACAAGCTCTTTTGTAATTATTAGCCATGCCATTTATACTACAACATGCAATGCGAATGAATTATGTACATATTTAATAGATTACAAAAGTATTCGCAGCTCCTCGATTAAATATTTTCAATTAATAATTTTTTGAATCAAAAACCTGAAGCTTGATTTAAAATTAACTCAATTGAGAGTTTTAAATTGAGAGTACATTACAAATAACTAACCGTTTTATATTATAATAAAAATGATTATTTCAATATAAGAGGAAATAATATTATTTTAAGAGGCACGAATACTTCAAAATCACATGAGGTATCATGAAACAATCACGTTGATCCGACACTTTGTGCCAACAATTCACAACTGGAACGCTAAAGTGTAATCTACAGTTTCATCTGCAATTGAAGCCTCACCGTGGAAAACTTGACGGTTAGGAAGTCGTAGTATTTCACCAGGAACTTCATTATGCGTCCAGTGCGGATTGGCTTCGGTCATACAGCGTGCGTTTCCTATTTGTTTGTTTGTGTAGGGATTGGCTTTGGTGTGGTAAACAACTAATTACACATTATTTTTTTATCGTTCTTCATCTAAATGAGCTTCTTTTTACACATGTTACTGATCTATTGGTTTGATTCTACAAATTCGCATTCGTATATTAATCGCATCAGGAAGAAAAAATGTATATAGTTACTTTTTACTCATCAAGTTCAGATATTTTATTTAATCTAAGGGGAAGAAGAGGAAGAAGGAGTGTAAATAGAAGAATTTTCTTTCTGTCAGTAAAATAGAAAGTTTTTTTTCCCACTAATTCTACTAATTGGCGTATCATAAAATTTTTGTTCTTTATGTAGTATGAAGAATTAAAACTATTTCCTATTTATATTTCACTCTACAAGAATCTCTGTATAGAATCTCCTCTGATTTTCATGCTTTTCGTTCAAAATTAACCCTTTGCGCCAGTTCTGTTGGCACAAACAATAATTCCGAATATCAATTATACCAGGCGTGAACGTTCTTGCATCCGCGTGTTATGCAATTTGATGAAGACATTGAGCGACATTTATTTTTAGAGATATCAGTGCACGTTCTTGTGTGTGAATCAATAGTGTTTGCGTCAAAAAGCACGTGTTTGAGCCAAAATGATAAAGGTGTGAACGATGTTGTTGGATCAAGCACTTCTTGCCTGTTTCAATCTATACTCGGCTACGTAAGATACATCAAATAGCTCTTCTTTGAATTTACATCGAAGAGAATCTATAGGAAGAGAAGTTTTTCCAAAACTAGGATCGTCTAAGATAGGAACGAAAGAGTTTCCATAAATTGTCGCGTATAATACGCGAAATAAATTTGAAAAGGAA